TCTGTGTTACGAATTTGGACTCAGTCAGGATTGCATCCCATTGTTCGCAAATCTATTGAATGTAATTGATAAGACTTTCAATGTAATCCCTCTCAACATCAAGTGTAGCATTGTGTGCTTCAATTATCAGATTAGTTTGGTAGATCATTGTAAGTAGCTTCATCCACAAAGATGACATCAGAATGCATTCGAATTTGGACGTGTGCTTCTGAATAGACTGAAATTCAGTTCGAGCCTGTGCAGTGAGATTGAGAGATTCAAGCTCATTTAAAGCCTTTCTCACTGAATTCAAATGCTGCACAACTGATTGAACACCATCAATACGTGCAGACCATCTAGTTTTGGACATCCTATGCAGTGAAACAGGAAGATATTGCTTCAGAATTTCCCACCTTTGTGGACTGCTACTGAAGGGATTGTACATTTGCTGAACAGTTCCAAAGTAAGTAATTGGCTCCTTGCATGATTCAGCACAGTCAACACATACAAGGTTTAGTGTGTGGTTTCCACAGCTGGAGAAAATACAGTTTGAATTATGCTGAAGCAGAACTGCTTGTGCACCTTTGTACTTCCCAGCCATATTAGATCCATTGTCATAGGCTTGACCAATGCAGACTTGAAAGTCTAACTTAAAACCTTCTAGAATTGCTAGTACTTGAGCAGCAATTTCTTTCCCAGTTTTTCTCATGAAATTATCAAACAAAATAAACCTTTCTTCAATTGAAAGTTTTGAGCTGTCTACAATCTTAATATATCAAATAACCATAGTAGTCTGTTTCTTGTGAGAACAATCTGGAGTGGCATCAACAATGATTGAAAAATACCTGGCATTTTGAATCTCATCAAGAATTGTTGTTTGTACGAACGACCCACATAGCTCAATAAACTCGTTTTGTATGTGGGTGGAGAAATAATGGACTTGCATGCACTTTTGAGTCTCTTGCAATTCTCGAACACATTTAACATGCGCTGATAAAAGTGGGTCATATTTGCTGAGGAGCTCAACTATGCCTAGAAAGTTTCCATTTGCACAATCACCAATACGCTGACTGGAACCAAAGAAAGCCAATCCCCGCTCAGAAAGAAAAAGGATGCCATTCAGGATGCACTCAAGAAGTTTTTTCCAGTTAATAGTTTCTGTAGCGAGTTCAGTAAAGACTAAATTCTCAGCTGAACTTTCAGTTGATGCTGCCGTACTGGCTGATTTCCATGCAACATAGTTTTCTTTGTGTGTTGTTGAACTCTCATGTGATGGTATTCAGACTTTCAACTTTCTCCAACATCTGTTGATGCTCCATCCTGATTGATCAGAGAGAACCGATGCATTTGCAGCACTTTTGTTCAAAATGAAGCAAGGTGCACAGTACTGAGATTGTTTGTTTGTTTTTCCGTACTCCAGCATAACCAGTCTCTTGTGCAGGTCTGACCATTGGGAAGAGTTTTTGTCAGCAGACACTTAGGGAAAACATGATTATCAGCATCTCGTGGAATGTTACTTGGAATTTGAAAACAACTAATTTGAAGAAGAGATTGCATTTGGGCTGCATTGTTCTTGTCAGTAATTCCAATGTCAGTCACAGTCAAACCTGTAGTGCTCATGAATTGCTCTTGCTGCGTAAGATCTACAACTTCCTATTGCTATTGAGTTTCTTGATCGTACACAGACTCTTTTGCTGCATCTGTTACTGTTGGCATATCTCCTTGACTACTGTCCTCATGTTCAGATATTGGCATTGAAATATCACTTGTTGCAGTTGCGGAGTTTTCATTATCTGTAGCATTGTTTGTTGGGTAAGGTGTGTTTTCCAGTGTTTCAAGAAATGAAGTTATTGACTTTGAGCTCTTAGCTGCTGCTTGCACCACTTTCAAATCTCCTCTTAATAGTGATCTATCTGGTCAATATGTAGCCTATCCACACTTGAAATATTCTGCTGTAAATAAGTAGCTTATCTACACTTGAAGTCTTCTACTGTAAACATGTACACAAATGCTGAAAAGACTTAAAATGAAGGAATATTAATTAAGAACACAAAATGAAACAGTCAGATAGGTTATTATCCTTATCATTGAATCAAAACTCAAGCACGCAAGGTATAATATAACAGGCTGAGCTGAAGACAAAGGTATGACATATATATATATACAGTAAAAACAGACATGGATACACACAGAGGGATAATGTCCAAAAAATTTCAAATGTGTGTCCTCATGAAACTCACTGTACAAGATTGTCCTCACAAATTTTCACCTTGAATCTGGGCCTGTAGACTACAAAAGCCTATGATGATGGCCAGGCTACCAAGCTAAGGCTTAACCAACCAACCAGTCATCTCTTTTAGCTACCCTATGAAGATAATAATGAGGAATTCTCACACACAAATAATTCCTTAATCAACTAGACGTGAAACTATACAGACACTGAAATGTGACAATTCTCTCAACACGCACTTGATCCAGCACCAGCCACTAGTAATGGTTTGTTTATATAATCAGCTGATCTGAGAGGACACATTCATCACTGTCTAATCTTGTACCATCAGAACTGATATATTTTTATTAATATTTATGAATATTTTAAACTCTTTAATATGAAAAAATCTATATCATGTGATAAAGGAGAGACAGGGAGCAGTGGGAGAGTGGTAGGGGGAAATATCTAAGCCCTAGGCTAATTAAGGCATGGTTCCCTGTAGACTAGGGAGGGTAGCTACAGGTTAATTGTTAGCAACCTAATAAACCCCCCTGCTTCAAGCAGTCAGGGGAGAAGGAGGAAGGAGAGTGGACTGGAGCTTGGAGATGTGCTGTGAGACTTGGAAGATCAGAAAACCAGAGTAAGGGAGACCCTGCCCCAGCCGGGGAGGGAGACTCCCTCCCCCAGCATTTAAGGACCAAAGGTACCCCACCCAAGGGGGAAGAGGGTAAGAACCCGCAAGGGTTGAGAGGGGCTGGGGCTCAGATTAAGGAGCAAAACCAGACCACTCCCCACTTTCCTCCTTTATCACCTTCCCGGGCCACTAGTGGGGCCCTCGGTGCCCCAAGAGCAGGGCAAGGGGTAGCATCATAGCCCCCCGCCAAGAAAAGCGCAGGACCCACCATACTACATTGGCCATCTTGTCACAATCAGTTAACAAAAAAAATGTCTTTTACCAAATCACATCTCTTATTTGCTTACATTTGCAGCTCTAAACTGAGAGAGTGTGTCACATTTTGGTCCAATACAGATGTGCATAAAAACAAGTTGTGAAACTTATCAAATGCCAAAAAATTAACAAGTGTCTAAATTGGAGACCCCCTTAAGGTTGAGGCCCAGGCCAAATGGCCCTCCTGGCCCCTCCTCTGATTGGCCCTGGATCTTAAACAAAATAAGCAGTCATGGGATAGGAGGAATTAGGGAAGGTCCTCTCATGTTCAGTAACTGGTTAAGACAGGAAACAAAGGGCAGGAATAAATGATCAGTTTTCAATGGAGAGAAGTAAATAACAGGGTTCCCCACGGATCTGTATTGGGACCTGTGGTGTTCAACATTCATAAATGATCTGTAAAAAGGCATAAACACTGAGGTGACATAGTTTTGCATATGATACAAATTTAATCAAGATAGTTAAGTCCAAAGCAGACTGCAAAGCATTGCAAATGGATCTCACAAAACTGGATGACTGGGCAACAAAATGGCAGATGATATTTAATGTTGATAAATGCAAAGTAATGCATATTGGAAAACGTAATCCCAATTATACCGCTAAAACGATGGAGTCTAAATTTAGCTGTTACCACTCAAGAAAGAGCTCTTGGGGTCACTGTGGATAGTTGTTTGGAAACATCCACTCAATATGCAGTGGCAGTCAAAAAGGCTAACAGAATGTTCATCACCATTAGGAAAGGGATAGATATTAAGACAGAAAATATTATAATGCCACTATAGAAAGCCATGGTACATCCACACCTTGAATATTGCATGCAGTTCTGGTCATCCTATCTCAAGAAAGATATATTAGAATTGGAAAAGGTACAGAGAAGGGTAACAAAAATGATTAGGGGTATGGAACAGCTTCCATATGTGGAGAGATTAAAAAGACTGTGACTGTTCAGCTTGGAAAAGAGACAACTAAAGGGGGATATGATAGAAATCCATAAAATCATGAATGGTGTGGAGGAAGTGTTTGTTAGTGTTATTTACCCCTTCACATAACACAAGAACCAGGAGTCACCCAATAAAATTAACAGTCAGCAGGTTTAATACAAACAAAAGAAAGTACTTCTTCATACAACATGCAGTCAACCTGTGGAACTCATCACCAAAAGATGTTTTGAAGGCCAAGAGTATAACTGGGTTCAAAAAAAGAGACTTATGTAAGTTCATGGAAGATAAGTCTATTAACGTTTAATGGTCAGGGATGGAACCCCATGGTCCTCTGATGGCTAGATGCTGGGACTGGATGACGGTGGTTGGATCACTCGATAATTACCATGTTCTATTCATTCCCTCTGAAGTGTCTGACATTGGTCACTGTGAGAAGACAGGATACTGGTCTAGATGGACCATTGGTCTGACTCACTATGGCCGTCCTTATGTTCTTATAATTTGAGTTAGGACACTTTTTGAGTTCTGCTCCCACTGCTGCCACTGACTTGCTGTAAGATCTTTGGTATATAGCTTTTAAATTGTGTATATCATCAGTTTCACCACCTATAAAATTTTATCCCGCCTGGCAAGGAGAACCCAGTTATACTTTTGGCGTTCTAAATATCCCTGTCAAGGGTGGTGGTAGATTTGTAAAGCACTGTGATAGTCTCAGATGAAAGGTGATACGTAAGTGGTTCATATCTGTGCAGTGCAAACCCTCAAAAGCTTCTACTAAGTCATAAACCAAACCTATTAAGTGCCAAAGGAATATTGTTGCTTGTGTCTGGTCACTGAGTACAGAGTGAATGGCTTAGACATGTTCCTATCTATAGTCTATATTTTTGTTTTTAAAGCTCTCTTTTTATATCTTTTGTAGATCACATTAATGGATGCCAACTATGTCATGGATGAGACTCTTGGCACATCAACATTTCTTATATCCTCTCTGAAACTGGGGGAGAAGAAAGAAGTTCCATTTACTTTTAATGAAGTAAGTTGCAAATCTCGATAGCTTGGCCTGCTTTGCTAAAGTCTCAAACATGATGATGAATGTTAATGCAGTAGCAGCTGACTTGAAATCTGGTATTTGGAAAGTCAGAGCACACAATGTAAGTCTTTTTTCAGGTTTCTTATATTTAGCTACACAGTATTCTGGTTGGGTAACAGCCTGGGAGTTTTGCTTGTTCCTAGATCACATAGAAGCTATTGCTTTTGTAGCAGATTACATGCTACCCATGTATGTACTATCATGCCCTGACAGCTTTTCCAAAAGGACCTCACTTTCTCCTCACTGATGCTGATTTCAAGCAAGTAACTGGTTAAGGCCTTTTTGATAAATCAGTTAAGAAATGTATATAAGGTATAATTTACTGCAGCTTGAGAGTTGATGTAATTCTAACACCATCTCTTTTGGAAGTTATTGCTTACCTGAGTACTTGTGTCTTATGAATGCTCTGGTTAATACCTGGTCTTTTTCACTTTTCGGATGACTCTTCTGTATTGGTGTCTCGGTCTGCCATGTTACAGAAATGAGGCTTGAATCATCATTTAGTTAGGAAAGAGGAGAGATAGAGGGAAAGGGGTTGATGTATCTGAAATTAATTGAGAACAATATGCTTTATATATTTTGTGTTAATGTTAAGTTGTTGTCAAATTGCAAATACTTTTTTTTCTATGGATGGAGTCATTTAGTTCACTAAAAAGAAGAACAGGAGTACTTGTGGCACCTTAGAGACTAACAAATTTATTAGAGCATA